AATAATTTAGAGGAAAAGGGTTTGGGCTAGGGGGCCAGGTGCCTGGCACACAAGCGGTGCTTGGTAAGTGCTCGTCGCGGAACGATCTGGGGACCCAGGCCCGCGGGAAGACGTCCGCGGCAGTGGCTTACCAGTCGGTGTGGGGCTCGTCGATGACCAGCAGCACCCTGGCGGCAGCGCCCCCACGACCTGCGCCCCCAGAGCCGCCGCCCACCTGCTCGCTGAAGGTGGCCGCCGCGGCCGCCGTGGTCTGCTTGACCGCGTTGGACAGCGACGAGAAGAAGCCACCACCCCCCGAAGACCCGGGACTAGGGGCAGCCGGAGAGGCCACAGGGGCGGACGCGGAGGCCCTCTCGGCAGTGGCAGTCGTGGGACCGGGCGTGGCTCCGGGGCTGGGGGCAGCAGGCGGCGGCGGGGGTGGCTGCGGGCGCTGCAGGTCTGTCATGTACCCATTTGGCAGATTGGCCATGAAGTTGCTGTCCGACAGGCGGCGCCGCAGGTAGTTCATGGCTGCGGCGCGGGGCAGGGGGTCCTAGGAGCAGTCGGGTCAGCAGCCGCGGGGGCGGACCGCGCGGGGCCCAGGAGCACTGCTGCGCTCTCGGGCACGACGCGACTCTTCGGTTGCCCGCTGCAGACTGAGGCAGCGCTGAGTCGCCGCCGCCGCAGCGCGGATGGTCGCGCCCGTACCCCCCTATCTCGCGCCCTTCGTGGTGCTGTCCAGCTGGGCCGGCGGCGGCGCGGACGCGACCAAGGCGACCGGGAAGGGGAGTTTGGGGAGGAACGGCGAGTGACGTCAGCGCGCCTTCAGTGCTGGGGAGGCGGTGGCACGCGCCGGCAGGCGGGGGCGAAGGAGCTGTCCGTGGTGCTGAAGGCGGCAGTGCGCACGCGCCACGCCGCATCCTGTTTCCCCTCCCCCTCGTCCGATTGGGGATGCGCAATTTGGGGAGTGGGGGCGGGGTAGATACTTGTTGGGAGGGTCGGGGTGAGTGGTCAGGCAAGACCCCAACCCCGCCTCATTCTGGTCTTCACACCCGGTCGCACCCACACGCAGGATTCTCTGCAGATACTCAGTTTCCAGTGTTGATATTCACCACAGAAGGCATGAGGGGGGGTGGAGGGGGGGAATGGAGGCACACGCAGAGACTCAAAAGTAGAGAAATAACCTCCTCACCGCGACAGATGGGGGTCACAAGCAGTACCCTGTGAGGGGAGATCAATTTCCTATATCCATATGGGCTCAGCTAGGCAGAGAGAGGGTGCTGGGGTGGCATAGACAGCATCAGACAGGCAAACTTGGACACTTGGGCGGGGTACACACGCTTGCCCTGGGTTGCTGGGGCCTGGAGGCACACAGGAATGACACACACGTGGAGATACACATAGACACACACAAAAGTAAAGAAACACATGGAGGCACGTACAGACGGAGAACACTCCGATCTAGGTATCTATACAGACATACACAAGCCCGGGGTAACACACATGGGCATGCATGCGTATATGCCTACACACACACACACACACAGGCACCACACCTACACACAGAGACCCAAGGAAACTCACACGAACATGCACACCCAGACAAATCACATACCCACAGACGATCATGATAAACCTAGATCTGCCACACAGACCCATTCCCTGAAGCTCCAGACCTGATGTGTGTCCATCTCTGTCCCCCACCCCCCGGGGCCCTACACACACACTCAGTCTGTATGCCCCCATCGCTCTGCCCTGGATAAGCCAAAACCCACCATAACCACCTGATATCAGTGCCCATGGCTGACTCCCCTGCACCGGAGAACTTTCCACAGACAGAGGCAGACCCATCCTAGGGTATGCACACAGTAGGTGCCAAATAATGTTTGCCACATGAGCAAATTACCTTTATAGTCCAGGCAGAGGGGGGCTGTGGAAGCCATCCCCTCAGCTCCTGTAAGATCCTGACTACAATGAAAGCATGAATCCATTTAAAAACAATCATTTGTTGGCAGCACCCAACTAAGCTGTTTAGGTGTATTGTTTCATCCAACCCTTACAACAATACTATGGGGTGGGAAACATACCCATTTTACAGATGAAGGAATCCAAGACCTCCAATTCATTCCCAAAAGGCCATGTTCACTTTGTGATCCATGCATTTTTTTTTAAAAGAATGTGCTAGAAAGAGGTGCCAGTGTGGCTGAAACAAAGTGAGCAAGGGGGGTTTGTGGCAGGAGATGGGGTCAGAGAGGTTAGCAGGGACCAGACTGAGCAGGTCCTTGTGGGCCATAGTGAGTGATGATGGTGGACCAAGTGAGGTAGAAGAAGATACGGTAAGAAATAGGCAGATTTGGAGTCTCTTCTGCTTGCAGGATTTTCAGGTGAATCATCCACTTATTCATTTGTTCATTCTTTATTCTTTAAATCCTTGGTTCGTATAAACAAGGTAGTAAAGGTGTGGAGTCTAGAGTCAGAGTGCTTGAAGTTCAAAATAGACCTCCACCATACCCCTGGGAAAGTGACTTAACCCTGCTGAGACTTGGTTTCCTCATCTATCAAGATGATCACCTGACCCATCTCTAAGGGTGTGGGCGGCTGGTGGGGGGAGGAGACAACCTTTATATTTTTGCATGTGCTGTGACTTCTGCCAGGAATGTCCTTTACCTCTCTCTCTCAAGGATCATCTTTGGCCAAGGTCTCCAGGAAGTCCCCTTCCCCAGGACTCAGATTCCATCCCCTCTTACCCTAGCCTCCCCAGTCCTCAAGTTCAATACTTCCAAACCATTCTCTACTCCCTCCTCCATGCCAGGCAGCTTCAGTCCCACCTCCAGGCCTTCGCTTTGGCCATTCCTTCCCTCTCCTTCCTGGATGCTCTCTCCGGCATTCCATATCCCAGTGTTGCCCAGATGGGGAGCTCCCATGAATCATGTATTTTCCAACATTTAGAAGTATGTGCTTCTCAGTTTTTTGCTCAGTAACTGAAGTAAACAAGCTGTGTTGGACCCATGGTGCCCTCTCTAGGGGATAGGAGCAGCTGCAAGTCAACAGACCTCTCTGGCTCCTCTGGGAGTCAGAAGTTGGGCTCCTTAGGAATCTGTCTCCAGAATGCCTCTTCCCAGGGCCCCCATTCCCACGTTTCTAGTACTCATGGCCCCCAGCATCAGTCCCTTTCTCCAGGTGGCTCGGTTTCCAGAAATTAATATTTTGGAGGTTGTTTAGCAGAAGAATGAGGATTCCCCTCAGGAGTGTCTCAACTCCCTGAGGCAGAGGTAAGCCTCCTCTGCACTGTCTCCATCGTCTCCAGCAGGAATGAACGAACAGAAGGGGCTCCAGGAATGATTTTCTTTGTTGTGCATTAGTGAGCAATGACTCTGAAACACACACCCCTGACATATGTTTGTAATCAGTATTGTACCCATGTTTAAAACTCACACACATGTATTATCCACATCTTAATGCACATGTACATGTGTGCACGTGCACACAAACACACACACACACACCTATAACTCAGACTGTTATGGTGCACACATGGTTGTAACTTTACATGCACTCCACATACACTCAATACATCCTTAATTCTTGCACAGGCCCATAGGTCTGCATATCACACATACACAAAGATATGTGTCTCATGATGTGCAAAGTTCCACTCTCTTGTAGACACATACCTCTCATACCCTGTAGTAAGCAACCAGAATCACTCCCTTCAGCTCATTCTTCCCAAGATGACCAAAAATTCAACTTTGTCTTTATTTCAACCCATCAACTGACCTATTTTATGGGGGGAAACCGACCCAGAGAAGTGAGCACCCTGACAGAATCCAGGTGTCACGCATCTCCCATCTGAACCCTTCCATAGAGGCGTCCCTCCACTCATAGCACACATCGTGCTTCAAATGTCCAGCCTGCTACCTTTCTGTGCCTTTGTAAATGGGAATAATGATAATAGTGACCCTCATAGGCTTGTTGTGGAGTAAATGAATTCATGCTGTGCAACCTAAAACACTACCAGGCACACGGCAAGCACTCTATAAGTATTAGCTAATACCATAATTATGATGATTCTTATGATTTGCCTCATCACCAGGGGCTCAGCATTCAGTAAATTCTAATTAGTGCAACACTGAGCAAATGCCAACAGCTTTAGTGTCTGGGTTTGTTCCCTTCACTGTGGAGACACGTGCTGTTCTGACTCCTCTTGTCTCCATGATGTCCAGCGCTATTGTTAGTATACAGTACGCGTTGATAAGTGTTGAAAAAAAATGTTCAACGAAAGGATCACATATTCTGAGTTTGTTCCCTCGCTCACATGTCCTCTCCTTCTACCAGTCCTCCTCCACCCCAGATGCCCAGACTTCGTTCTAGTATGCTGTAGACGCTATAAAGTGTTGAATGAATGCACAAATACTAAAGGAATCTGTGTCTGGGTTTGTCAGAGGGGCTCCTTCTGGCAGATGCTGACTCTGGCTTCTCTTCGCTCCCGCCCCAGCTCAGAGCACCTCACAGGCACTTCTTCGGTCCACCCCCCGCCAACCGCCACCCCTCTTTCGGTCCCCGCTAATTGCGGCATTGGATCTGGGCTGTTGGGAGTGGGTGGGTGCAGGTGTTCACGCGGCTGGGTGCCAACCCCAGCCACGCCTCTGCCGCCTCTGCCGCGGCTCAGAGCGGGATTGATGCGGAACCCGCCAGCCGAGAGGCTCCGGCGGGCGGGGGGGGGGGGACGTAGGCACGCTGGCCAATCAAAAAGTGCCGGCCAGGCGAGTAGCCAACCAGAAAACCCATAACGCGGAGCTCTGCAGAAGGACGTGCTGGACGCCCCGGGACGCCACGCAAGGGGTTGGGGGGTGGTTGGGGCGGGGGGGCAGACCCTGGGGCTGAGGCAGCGGCGAAGGGACGGATACTCCCCTTCCCTCCTGCCCAGCTGTGACCACGGTGGAAAATACTGTTTTCCACAACAAGCCACTGCATCTCTGCCCGTGCCGTGCCCTTTGGCCTAGAAGATGCTATTGCCCCACTCCTGGGGAAGAGGCCCATTTATTGAGGTCTGGGAGGGCAAGGGGTCAGAGTGGGAGAGGGCGGTGTTAGGGCTGCGCATCCTCAGGGTCTTGGCAGACAGGCACGTGTAGACATGGCCGTTTCTCCTCCACCACCGTATTATGCCCCTGCAGCATCTCGCACCGTGCTGATGGTTTTCCCCAGAAGGTCACGTTCTTCTCACCCTGACCTTCGACCACGGTAATGGTGGGCCTGGGGCATTAGAGGGGGAATGGAGGGGAGAAGCTCAGGGAGGGCAAGAATGCATTCGACAAACTCTTACTGAGTTTGAGCTAACTATTTGTTAGCTATGAGATATTGGGCAATTTCTTTATCTTCCCTGTGCTCATCTGAAAAATGGGACTAATCAGAAGAATAATGATACCCACCATATTGGGCTGAGTGAGGATAAATTAGTTAATTTTGGTAAAGTGCTCAGAGTGGTGTCTGGTACACAGTAAGTACTCAATAAATGCTAGTAATTGTTACTCGTTGACAAGAGCTACCTTCTCTTACCTCCAAAACCCTTCACATCTCTCCCCATTGCCCACTGGGGGGAAAAAAAACCCCAAATGCCTTGCCTGGTATTTGAGGTCTTGTTTTTGGGCCCACATGCCTGGCCCAAGCCAATCCCTCTCTCTTCCACTTTATCCAGACTTAGTCCCACATCCAGAATGGTCTTTGCCTGGCTTGTTCCTCCCACGAAACAAGCATTCCATTCATTCACTCTCACCCCCATTCCCTCAATCAAATCCATTCATTTCCCTACTCTGTCAAGTGCTTCCTGCCTCCATTCAACACCTCTAACTCATCTTCAGGACCTACTAGAAACCCCAGAATCGGAGACCATTTCCCAGATGGCAGGCCTTCCATGAGTTGAAAATAGCCCATTTCATCTAGTGGCTTGACTATGTGGAAATAAAGAAGGGAGGAGTGAGTGTTTACACCCTCTCTAACACCTGGGCCACCAGGAAACCAGCTTTGGGCAGTTGGTCACCAGTATCCAGGACTCTGCTCACACAGTCTTGACACTGGGAATGCCTTTCCTGACCCCTTCCTGCCGAGTGACCCCTGATCAGCTTCCTGGATCCAGCGCGAGGTGTCAGCCCCTTTTCCATGTACCAACTGCTCTGCATCAGCCTTCTGTCAGGGCCCTGCTGACCTGGATCCCTCAGGGGACCCACGGGACCTGGGTTCTGTGTGTCTGCAAGTGTTGCCGAAAAGGCCTCAAGCGTCTTGGGGCGGTGAGACGTTGGGTGAGATGTGGGTGGCTGAAGGAATGAGTAAGTGGATGAAGGCCTGAGTGACTGAAGGGGCAAATGGAAGCATGGGTAACCGAGAGGGCCGAGTGCATGGTCACAGGAAGGACTGGCTGAGTGGCTGGATGGCTGGGGGACTGAATGAAAGGTAAAAGGGCACAGAGGCTACTCATTCTCCCCTCAGGATCCTCTTTCTCGGCTGCTTCTTTAGTGACTTTCCTCTTCCAGCAGGAGGGAGAGGACACTCGTCAAGGCAGGCATCTTAGACCCAGCGGAGGATGCCCTGGTTGTGGGGAGCTGAGCCGACTCTCCCACCCTCACTGCTCACATATGGATATCATGACCCCCTCCTGGGCACGCTTTGCCCCCTCACTCACGGGAAGTTGGGGAGCTGGGCCGTGCAGAGGCGCTGGCGGGTGCGGACGGGGTTGGGTCCACACGGGGGCATGCATAGCCCCCAGGAACTCCACTCCGACCATGAGCCTTTCCCTGCAATGAGTCAGAATGAGAGGTCTCAGTGGAGGTGGTGAGAGAGAGAGAGAAACAGAGAGAGACAGAGAGGCAGCAGGAACATGGGGTCCAAGGTAGAGTCAGAGCCCCCCCCCCCCCCGCACAGGCTGCCCCACCCTCACAGTGGAGTCGGCCGGGGGTGGGGGCACTCACAGCTACATTGCTGGATGTTATAGCAGTGACGGATAATTTGTTGTTGCCCGAGGCACCGCCGTCCATCAAATTTGCGGCCCTTGCAGCTCCTCGAGCGTGTCTGCTGGCCCGGGATCTCCTTACAGTTGATATTGTTTATGTTCCGACGGATGCAGGGGCTCCACTCCTCCCATGACCCCCACTCTCCATCCACTGCAGAGACAGGGGCAACCAGGGCTTGCACCAAAGAAGGGAGCCAGTGAGGGGATTCAGAGGAAGGAATGACGACCGGGGGGAAGGAGCGGCGGTGGTCAGAGGTGGGGCCGAGGCAACAGGGCCAGGAATGGGGGCATTTGAGGCAGGAACAAGGCATTAGCAGCAGGGATGGGTGAGGGGCTTAGGCATGGAGATGGCACATCTTGAGCTACTGACCAGGGCAGGGCACAGCTGTGTTGCAGATGTGGGTCCGGGTGGCCTCACCAGCACAGGGGGGGCCCCCATGCTGGGGCACAGGGTGATCACACTTCCGTCTTTCCAGGGTCTGCCCCAGGCCACAGGTCACAGAGCAGGGGGTCACAGGACCCCATGCCCCCCAGCCCCCAGCCACTGTGGGGGTGGGGGATAGGAGTGAGAAGAAAGGTCATCTCAATCTCCCCATCAGCCCCTAGACCCTTGAGGCGGACTGCCCCAAAATGAAGAGCTCCATGGTCACATGGTCTAAGATCTCTGTCCCCTGAAACGGCAGAGCATCGGTGACTGAATCGAGAACAGAGTGTCAGGGGCCTCATCCCTGTGTACCTGGGCAGGGTGGCAGGCCAGAGCAGGGCCGGGTTTCGTGGTTCAGCCCTGGGCACGGCTTCCCAGGAGGCTTCTTGGAGGGCTCAGGTGCAGAACACGTGCGGCTTCGTCTCTGGGTAGGTGCGCTGGGTCCACCGTGGCAGGACCCCGAGCAGTGGCCCCAGGGACCCCAAGCGGCCCAGGCCCCATGTACTGTGGTGGAGTGGGGGTTGGGGGGACACCAAGTGTGGTCACACTTGAAGTCCTCCCACCCTGGAAGTTCCCTGCTGTAACCCCCAGACCCACCCTGGGTGCCCACATCAGTGGCCTTCACTCACTGGGGCAGACCTGCTGGGTGTCACAGGCCTCAGACTCCTGTGGCTTTCCTGGGCAGTGGCCCCCACACTTGGGGGTGGGTTGATTACATGTTCGCCGATGGGTCCGGATCCCTTTGGAACAGGTGACAGAGCAAGGCATCCAGGGCTCCCAGTCAGACCAGCCACCCATCTCTATGGAAGAGAAGAGAGGGGGACAGGAGGGAAGTGGGGGCATCATTCAGGGGTCTTCGCTTCCTTGTGTGCCCCACGTCCTCTGCCACACCCAGTCCACCATCGGATGACTGCAGTAGCCTTCCCGCGGGTCCCGCTGCTTCAGCCCTCACCACAGACCATCCGCCCTCCTCCGGACAGTGAGAGGGATCTGACACAACCCAAGTCAGATCACATTTCTCCTCTGCCCACAACCACACAATAAAAGCCAGCGTCCTCACCGTGGCCCACAGGATCGGGCCCCCCTTTGACCTTGCCTCCCACAACTCTCCTCCAGCCACACCGGCCTCTTCCTCAGCGCCTCACAAACATCAGGCGCAGTCCTGCCCTCAGGGCCCCTGCACTGATTGTGCGTTCCCAGGGCCAGGCGACAGGCAGCGCTGGCCTGCCTCGCTGAGCCTCCTCACCAGGACAGCACGGCTGGTCCTCACAGGCCTGCAGCTGCCACTCAGGGGTCCCGGGCTCCACCTTCTCGGCACACTGCCCACCATGGCCTATGCAGCGACGGTGCCGCAACTGGGATCCCTCAGTGCAGGTCACTGAGCAGGGGGCCCACGCAGACCACGGGGACCATTGTGGGGGCCTGTAGAGAGGAGCACACGTGTCCTACCCTAGCTTGAGCTGGCAAGGATGGGGTGTACTGGACTGCGGGGCGAGGGCAGGCACAGGCAGGGGTGCAGGATAAAGGTACATGGAATGGATTGATCAGGGTACGCACCCCTTAGGGATGTTAGGGATTGAACGGGAAGTGGGGGGCACACAGTAAGTACTGACCTTCATGACTGGGGACCTGGAACACTTTGAAGTCCCCCAAGGCTAGTGCCAGACATGCAGTAAGCAAATGTATGGACTAAGGGCCCAGAACTGCTGTCAGAAACCTACCAGGCCACCACCATGCTCGGTAGCTGGCAAACAAAAAGTTCTTAATAAATAGAAGCTATTGTCCCAGTGAGCTCAGAGACCCTGTCAGAGATACCCTGGATCTGGGGCGCCTGGGTGGCTCGGTCGGTTAAGCGTCTGACTCTTGATTTCAGCTCAGGTCATGATCTCAGGGTCGTGAGATCGAGCCCTGCATCAGGCTCCACACTGAGTGTGGAGCCTGCTTAAGATTCTCTCTCCCTCTACCCCTCCTCCCGCTCCCGTGCTCTCTCTCTCTCTCAAAAAATATTTTTTTTAAAAGAGAACTACTCCAGATCTATCCCCAACCCCATGCACAGCATAATACTAAATTGATGTGAACTGTTGACATTACTAGAGGCCCAGAGCTACCTTCAGAAACCCTCAAGCTTCCCATCCCCATGGTGTACCTGGGATATATGCTAAGCTGTTAGAAAACATGTCTGGCGTTCAGTAAGGGCTCATTACATGTAAGCTGGCATCATGATGAGACCAGTGTCACCCTCAGAAATCTGCCAGCTACCCCTGACCTCTGCAATGCATCCAGTAGGCTGGCAGTGATCAATGAACGTGAAGTGTCATCATAATTAGGGGCCTGGAGCTGCCCTGAGAATTTCCCAAACTCTCCCACCCCGACATGTCTGTATGCAGTAAGCACTCAATGTGAGCTGGCATCACAATTAGGGGACTTGAGCTACCTTCAGAACACACCTGACCTGTACCCCACCCTCTAATGCTTCCAGTACGCGGGAGGTGCTCAGTAAATGTAAGCTATGGCAGTAGTTCTCAACCAGGGCCGATTTTGCCCCTGGGGGGACATTTGGCAATGTCTGGAGGATTTGGGTTGTCACAGTTGGTTGGGAGTTGCTACTGGCATCTAGTGGGAGGCCAGGGATGTTACAAAACACAGGCTTTGCGGGCGCCTGGGTGGCTCAGTTGGTTAAGCGACTGCCTTCGGCTCAGGTCATGATCCTGGAGTCCCTGGATCGAGTCCCGCATCGGGCTCCCTGCTCGGCAGGGAGTCTGCTTCGTCCTCTGACCCTATCCCCTTCATGTGTTCTCTCTCTCTCATTCTCTCTCTCTCAAATAAATAAATAAAATCTTTAAAAAAAAAAACCACAGGCTTTGCAATGCCCAGGTCAGGCCCCCACAACAAAGAATTTTTTGGCCCCAAATGTCAATAGAGGCGAGGCTGAGAAACCCCGAGCTATGGTCATGATCGGGGCCTTGGAGTCACCCTTGGAAACCCCAGAGAAGGAAAGAGCCCAGTCCTGGGTGGCCCCCAGGCTCCCCCTCACCTGCATGCCTGACAAAGCTTGCTGCCAGGCTCCTGGAAGCCATAGGCAGGGTTGAGACAGCAGTCTTCCACACTGACACCTCCCCCCAGGAGGCCCTTGCATATGCCGGAGGATTCCTCATAGTGGGTGAAGCAGAGGACGGGGACTGAGCCTGCAACAAGGTTGCGGGGGGGGGGGCAGGGAGGGGGGGCATGATCAGCGGTGTGATGGGTCCGGGCACCCCTGCGGGCCAGCTGGGCCCTCACGCACTCACCTGCAGCCGGCAGCAGGGCGAGCAGCAGCAACAGCAACTGAGGAGCCCGCATGTTGAGCATGCACCCCTGCGGTCCTGCCGCCCTGCCAGAGAGGAGGCCCGGCTTTGTATGGGCTGACCTGACGCTGGGATCAGGGCAAAGAGGAACCGGGCCAGGAGGAACTGGGCAGGAAAAGGGCTGCGGGGGGCGGGGCGGGAGGGGAGGGTGCCGTGCAGAGTCTCCGCAGTTCCGACTTCTCTCCTGGCACCTTTGCCCCGGAGCCTCCTGCTCCACTCTCCCCTCCCTACCTCCTGTCTCCCTCTTGATCCCAGTCTTGCTTGTCACTGTATCCCCAGCAACCACACCCTGCCCAGCAACAACTCCTTAGCACTCAATCAGTGCTCCCTGGAGCATAAACGTCCTAGCTGTGTGACCTTGGGCAAGTCGCTTGAAACTCTCTGTGGAGCCTCATTTTTTTCCCCCCTGTAAAATGCGGTCTCTCCCACAATGGGTCAACCTCATGTGGGTGTTGAACAAGGATGAAATGAGCTCAGTGTGCCCCTCATTGAGTGGAGCAGGCATTAAGATAATTGCTTCATCCTCTTTCCTGAAAGTGAGGTTGCCTGTGGTCAGCAAGGGCAGGGGAGGTCAGCAGCGGGGGAAGTGAGAAGGGGAAGTGAGAAGAGTGTGGGGAGAAGGGTTTGAGAGTGAATTGGGGATATTGACTGTCCCGGGGCTCCAGCTGGGACCCCCCCCCCACACACACACATATACACTGGCCTGGGGAGGGAATCAGCTTGGCCATGTTCTATCGAGTAACTGGGGGTAGGTGACAACCCCCTCCCTGAGCCTACAGCATAGAGTTTGTTGCAAAGATTGGGAGTTTAAGATTTTTAAAAGTCCTCAGAACAGCGCCGGGCATACAGTAGATGCTGTTTCTTAAATACATTCATTCAGCGTTTGCTAAGCACCTATTGGGTGTCAGATGCTGTTCCTGGCACTGGGCAGAGCAGAGAGTAAGACAGCCCCAAATCCTGGCCCTCAAGGGGCTTATGCTCTAAAAGAGAAGATAGACACAAAATGCCCCCCCCCCCACAGAGGCCTTCCCCAGCTACCCTTTTTGTATTGGACCCCTGTCACTTGGTAGCCCAGGGGCTCTCAAACCTTAGTGTGCCTCAGATTCATCTGGAAGATGTGTTCAATCGCAGAGTGCTGCCCCCCCCACCCCGTTTCTGATTCTGTAGGTCTGGGGTGGGACACAAAAATGTACATTTCTAACAGGCTCCCAGGTGGTGATGCCGCTGCTGCTGGTCTGGGGAGCACATTTTAAGAGCCATTCTAGCCGCTGACACCTCTTTTTCTTTGTAGGTGTCATCTATAAAAATGATGCTACGTGCTCCTTCTTTTACTCTTACGTCCTCTTCAGCCCCTTTTCTGTGCAGGTAAAACCAAGCTCCATGGACCCACTCTTTTTTTTTTTTTTTTTTTTAAGTAATCTCTACACTGAATGTGGGGCTCAAACTCACAACCCCCGAGATCCAGAGTTGCATGCTCTTCCAACTGAGCTGGCCAGGAGCCCCTCTTTTGTTGTTTCTTATTAGCCCTGATGAGTGAAACTCCAGAGCTCACTTCAAAACCAGGAATCTCTTCAATGAACAAAAAGGAGTCTAAGAAAGTTAGGAAGGCAAGGTCTTGTTTCCTCTGCGTTCCTGGAGAGAGAGGTACCGTTCTGCAAATTAGCACAAGGTAATAGACTTTGGTTTGGGCAAGTGTTAAAAGAGAACTTTCTCAAGAATGTTGGTCTTGTGTTATGGGGCAATAAGGCGTGTTGACATCTGTATCCATTACACATGTACTCTGTTTCCTGATCATACAGGCCTGTCTTTGGAAGTCTGCTTTGAACAAAGGGGTTTTGTTAAGATGTCAAGACTTCAGACATCAGCGCTGTGTTATCCTGTGGAAACAAACTCCCCCAGAAATCTGTGATTCCGGTTGGCTGTTTTTTCTAATCCCCGGTTGCCCCAGTAATGAGGTTATAATCGATCCTTCCTTTGTGCCTAAACCGTATACTCCGAGGACTCCCTGTGGGAAGAGGATGGTTGGTGCTTTCTTTTCCCACGTTTGCGCAATAAAATGACGGCAGCTCTCGTATTTAAACAGTTTGAGAAAGTCTCATCTCACGAAATTATTGCACTGCCACGTGATGATGTTGTACTTATCTGCTTCTTGTCCGTCGCCCTCACTAAAATACCTGCTCGCCAAAGGGCAGGGATTTGTGTCTGGTTTGGGAACTGCTGTGTCTGCGGGCTCAGTAAACAGGCGCTGAATGAATAGGCCAACCACCAAAGCTCTAGAGAGATTCTGACACGTGCGACGAAGACGACTCTGGGTTGGAGGGAAAAAATGTGGCCATCACCGGTGGGGGGATTAAGTGGTGTCTCGAGTGTCGGGACTGGACCGGAGCACCCTGAAGAGGGCTTGAGGAGAGGGAAGGGAAGCCTAGGTGAAGCCCTGGGAAACTCCAGAATTTCAAGTTTTGGAGAACTGGGAGAAGACAGCACTGGGGATAGAGGAGGCGAGACCAGTGGAGAAAGTGGCTTTCTCCCATGCCTGGCACATTCGATCCGTGGTCTCTCATACAGTCTCATTTGGTCTTGGTCATTTTCTCTTACTTTTTTCGTTTACACAGTTACGCACGCAATTCTGGATCTGCAGCGTCTACTAGGAGGCCCTTAGGGACAGGCTCACATACATACTCGGTCCCACAGCCTCTCGGACTTGCCCTCGGGGTCATTTTTTTTCTGTCATGGATTCCTGGTCTCCTACTAATAGCGTCACACACACACACACACACACTCACGTCTTAACAGCCTCCCTCATTCGGCCACGATCACCGACACTTCCTCTCACCAGTTTTTTACACGCACACACACGCAGTCATGCCTTTAGACGTTTCTACCACTCAGCCCGATTTACAGCCCCCGCTGGTCTCTCAGGAACTTTCTCGCACACGACCTCAATCACCACCTCTCCTACTTCCTCTCACCCCAGCCCCCATCGGGCACACCCCCCCTTCCCCGTCCCTGACGGACGCTAAGGTGCGCACGCGCACACCCGCACACACGGCCTCACCGCTCGGCTGCCCAGTTCTCTCTCACACGGCGCCATGTGCCTCCTCGGCTCTCGCTCGGACACTTCCATGGTCTCTCGTACTGCTTCAGTCACTCGGCCTCACCATCCTTTTCTCCCTTGCCGTCCCGGTCCCGGAGCCTCTGGGCCAGACTGGAGTAGTACCTGTCATCCATCTGCCACTGGTCTCAGGCACACCCACTCACCCACTCACCCACTCACACACACACGCTTACAGCCTCATGCTCCGCACACACGGTCCCGCAGGCTTGGATCTTGGGCCTCACAGCCATCTTCTGTCTCACGGTCAGCTCTTCTCCACAAGGCTCCCAGGACTTCGGTCGCTACGACAGCCTTGCGTGAAGGTTCACACACCATGCGTGTCCCGAGCACAACGCCCTGCGGATTTACAGGCGGGCTTCTCGCCCGCACCCAGGCCCTGACCGGCTCTGCCACACCTTCGTGCCCGTGCGGGCTCACGCGGGGTGTGTCGCTCACCACCGTCAGCCGGTCAAACGGTGTCGGAGGCGCCGTCCCGGCTACCTGTGCCTAAACAGGATGTCACGCGTACCTCCGGGCTCTGCGACAGTGCCTTAGTCCGCACTCAGTCTCTCGGTGATTTTCCAGCGCACGGCCGTAATTTCTCCCACAGACACGGTGTCGTCCGTGGTTCCAGCCGCCAGTCTCTCACGCACACACACGCGATCGCAGCTTTCCACCCTCTCTCTCTTCTTTGCACACCTGGTTACCAATCTGCAGGCTCGCCGGCTGTCTCCGACACACGCCGTCATGCTCTCTCTCACAGTCAATGTCACACCCTCGCCGCCTTCCACAGAAAGTCATGCCTGTCACAGTCAGTCCCAGTGGCCTCGGTGGGGGGGGCGGGGGGGGGGCGGAAAAAGGCTAGCAGCCTCCAGCGTCACCTTTAAAAATATATATTTACAGGAACAATTCCCCATTCTCTGGGACTCTTAGAAAAAAAGATCCATTTTTGGGGAAGTAAAACAAACAGTGGAGACAGGTGTAGCACCGTCCCCCAAATCACCAACCCCCAGGTCCCTAGGCCCAGGCTAGGCCGGTGCTGATAGGAGGTGAGCCCAGGAGTCCTTTGAACCCACCCTCTCCAGCCTGGAATTCAGATAGGACAGGCTTTATGTCCCCCATTCCTCCCTCCCAACTCCAGGGACACTTAAAGGGTCCTTTGTACCCGCCCGCAGGAAATTGGGGGGCTGGGAGGGAGGGAGCTGAAAATACACGTTTGGTATCAAAAATAAACACTTGCGGGTGGCAGGAAGATCCCCCCCACCAAATCCCTTCCTTCCCACCCACCCCATCTCAGATACAGGAAGAGATGCTCCCCTCTCCCCTATTGAAAAGCCCTGTTTAAAAATAGATTATACTATCAAAATGGCAGGGGGCGGGGGGACAAGGTGACCTGGAGTACTGGCTGGAGGGGCCCCCCAGACGGAGACCACTCCCCAAAAAAACCCTCCATTGGGAGGTAACAGGCAGGACCCCAGGAGTTTGGCAGACACAGGAATGGCTTCTCAGGGGGAGAAGAACAAAAGGGGCATTCCTCCCTGGCCTAAAAGGTGATATCTGAGACAAAGGCTGGGGAGGTGGAAATTCCTATTTCAAGGGTGTGAGTCTTCCCTTGGCCAAGACTCCCAAACCGCTAAACGGGACAAATTCTTTCTGGACCCTCCGGTATGGCCAGGAATAATAAACAACAACAAGCTACCTCTTCTACTCACACCCCAAAATGGAGACAGGGCTCCCTCAGCTTCCCAAGGGCAGGCTGAGAAATAAATAAAGGTCCTTCTCAAGCCAGACCCCGACTGTCTCATCTTGGGGAGAAAATGTGGAGATGGGGGAGATGTCCTCACCAACCCCCCAAAAGGGGTGGGCCAGGCTCCTCCCAGTGGCCTTCAAAAAATAAATAAATAAACCGTCCCCACCACTGCAGTAGGAGACGTGTAAGGGCGGCCACTGGGGAACTGACCGAGAGGAGAGAAGTTGTATGTTTCCTGTGAAAGGGTTACTGAGAGATCTTTCCTAAGAATCCCTACCCCACCACAACTAGAGCATAAGTCTGTCAGCTGAACTATGTTTCTCCTTGAGACGGCTGGCTGGAGAGAAGTTCAGGGCCATGGATGAAGTGACCCCAGAAGGGGGTGGTGGTGGTGGTAGTCATGGCTTCTGGGGCCCTGGGGAGAGCACCACGGGGGTTGAGAGGCCATCCACGCTGATGGAAGGGATGTGCACCTGGGCGCTGCCACTGGATGGAAACTGGGGACAGAAAGAGGGAAAGATCATGGATGGGGGCCATGCTAGGGTCTCTCACCCTCTCCCAGATGGGGGAAGGGGTTCCTACCTGGAAGGAGAGCTTGGCTGGGCTACGGGGTGCAATGGGACTCAGGGTGCTCCAGAAGTGAATGCTGGGGGGCAGCGAGCTGGGTGTCAGCAGCACCGGGGTCTGTGGGGAAGGGGCGGTTGGAGCTCAAGTGAGTAGAGGGCAGGTGGGGGAAAAACGGAAGGAACGTGGCTCCAGTCCCACCAGATTTCCCACTCAGACTTCTGAGATCACCCTCCCAAAGTGTACAGGCTTACCCCCTAACTGCTAAGGTCAAGCCCATGACACCTCTCCAATGTTACAGACAACCCCTCCCAGCTCCCGAGAGCCCACCTCCAGCTTCATTGGGCGAGACCACCTACAAGACCCCATCCACATGTCAATTTCAAAACTCACAGGTCACTATCCCATCAGTTTAGGATCAACCCCCAACTCTTACACCCCACCAACCCATATACCTCACAGGAAACCCACTAAAGAAATCCCAGACCAAAAAGCCCCACGCAGGATCCCCAAGCCATGCCCCAAACCAGAAAACAGTCCCCC